TTGACCTGACCTTAGGTCATCGATATCAAAATTCTGAGATATACATTTTGTACATGCTATTGCTCTTAGCAATCGCTGAAAGTTTCAAAGCGATCGGTCACTCGGTGTAGCTATGACAGACATTGAAAGTTTTTATGAGGTGAGGTCACTTCAAGTGACCTGGTGACCTGACCTTGAATGACCTTGGTCTGAAATTTTCACAACATGTGTAGAATTGATGTATGATAAGGTGTACCAAAAACGGCGGCGCTCCGCGCCGCCGTTTTTGAGATATTCGCGAAAAACCACAAGGGGGGGGGTGTTCAAACACCCCCCCCCCCAGCAGGGCGCGGGTTAACTTGAAACAAGCGCTTTTTTTGGATATATGTGTTGACAAAAAAAAATAAGTGAGGATCTATGATCTCACTGGATCTCAAGCAAAAAATGAGACTCGGATCTGTGATCCCTACGGATCTCTGGATAAATTACAGAGCTGGATCTATGATCCCGTCGGATCCGAGATCAGGATCCATGGGATCAGATCCCAGATCCATTTTCTCGGATCCATGCGCATGTCTGCTTTTAACCCTCGCACCGACGGGGGGCCGGATATCCGCCCCCCCCCCCCTGAGGTTTTTCGCGAATAGCGGGAAAACCGCGGCGCGTAACGCCGCGAAATTTGGTATGACTATAACCTCATCAACTTTACACATGGTGTGCAAGTTTGAACCTCCTACCTTTTAAGGTCAGGTCACCAGGTCACTTTGAATGACCCAACCTCAAGTCACTTTTTTGCAACTTTGTCACCGTGCCAGAGCTACAGTAGATGTCGGAGGCCTTTGAAAGTCGCAGGATATTATTAGGTCATTAGTAGCTACAATTTGTATATCTCGGAATTTTGATATCGGTGACCTAAGGTCAGGTCAATATCGCGACCTCCCCATTATAAGTCAATGGGGGAAAAATCAACTCCCTGTTTTTACCACTAAAACGGGTCGGAATGGCCCCATATACCCTACATGACTTCATATACGATCAACCTTCACTACCTTGAGGTCTGTTTTGCTGTTGGGCAGCTGTGAGGTCATGTGACGTCATCAAAGGTCACCAAAGGTTTTTGGCCAATAACTCCGTACAGGAACAAGATACAGACGCGTGGATGGTCTCATTGTGTTCAGCTCGTCAAGACGCATCGAATGATATACATGATGACCTCGAGGTCACGTGACCTGAGGTCAACCTTTGACCTTGACCTTTCGAGGTCAACATATATATCATTCGATGCGGATTGACGAGAGGATCACGATGATGCCCTTAGTTTGTTCCTATCTTGACTAATTCGAAAGTTATTCGAGAAAAACTCTCCATATCTAGCGCCGCCATTTTGACTTTTTCGACCCCTGTGACGTCATCTTTGACCTGACCTGAAAATGACCTTTGTAAAAATTGTAGATCTTGGCCGTGCGTATCCGATGCCCTTTACCGCTTGTCACTATCTTGCTTCGTTCTCGAGATCTCAGGGGGGGGGGCGGTCATCCGCCCCCCCCCCCCCCGTCGGTGCGAAGTTGGCGCAGACCCCCGTCGGTGCGCGGGTTAACCTATAATTTCTGTTGATTTCCTTGAATTGTATAATTTCGAAACCATGAGTGGTCGTTCGAGCAAAAGAGCTTACACATCTGGGTGTCAGAAACGAAAGCGGAAGATGCTACGAGAATTGGAAAATGACCAAAGACATTCGAAGAAACTCTCCTCATATTTTCGGCCCAGTGTCAGGTAAATAGGTACTGCACTACATGCATATGCAAATTGCATTGTGCTCACCATTGAGTAACTGTACTATTCTGAAATCTGAATATTTATGTATTATGGTAGTGGTTGTACTCGTGTCCCGTTGTGCTCAATGCAAGGCCGACGTCATGTGCGCATGTTATGTATTACTCAAATTCTTCATAGTGTATCCCATGGCCCATGTCCCACTGGTGAGTACAGCCGCCCCATGGGTGTAGGAGCGTTACGAAAAGTGGGGGGGGGGGGGGGCAGACCCCGGTCAGGGAAACTTTGATTTTGATCTCACTTTGTGGGAAATTCAATAGGTACCCCTACGGAAAAAAAAAATTGAGGGCAGTTTTGAGCTCCTCTTGCTGAATCGTGTGCTGCTTTAGTTTTGTCTTTGGAGCAAAATCAGAGAATTTAGCATGAAACTTGGCCGAAAGGGGGGGTGGCCCCCTGTCCCTCCGTTACTACGCCTGTGCCCGCCCCACTCGTTTTGCATGGATATCTTTTAAATGACTAGGGTTAAGCCAAGGCCACAATATTTTCGATAACCTCTCCTGAATCTATATTACGTCTAAACGTCTAAGAGTTTCAAAATGGTCTAGAGTTGATAGGTTGCCGTAAATGACACCTGGGGGCCCCCAACGGTGGGGGCCCCCCGAGAAAAAGTCGGACCAGTTTTCCTTACGCGTCGACGCCCCTGCTCGTAATAATGGACAGGTCATAAAAATGACCTGACCTGAGGTCAACGCAGGGCGATAGCCACTTTTTTATTTTCACATATGAATGACAATTGGTAAGGCTTTAATCGTCATCAGACATAATTGCGACTCTTAGTTGGGAAAATATCAAGGTCACTCTTCGAAAAAAAGGTCAAGATGTCACGTGATCATAATTTTCCAAAATCAAAAATCTGAGATAGCCAAAACGTTTGTTGGTTGATTGCGAGTTGAACCATATAAAGTTTTTACCATAGAAAACCAATAGTTTCTGAGTTATAAGCCGCCAAACATAGGGTTGCAGCGTGACCTCCAGGAATTGCCTGAGGCTATATCTCGGAAACCGTTGTTCGAAGAAAAAAATCCTTGGCACAGCTGGCTTCCCCGCCCATCACAACCCATCAGACCCATTTTAACCCTCGCCTGCACATGGGGGGGGGGGGGTGGTTGCCACCCCCCCCCCCAGGTAGTCTTTCTCTTCTGCACTCAACATTTTTAGAGCTAGAAGGCTGATTTTTCGTATAGCTGCTCCTCTATCCTTTCTTGATGTCCACTGAAAATTTCAAGTTTCTGTGATTTTTGGTTTCGGAGATATGACCTTGTTTGTCAGGTCATGTCATGACCCAAATGGCCAATTCTCAACATATTGCGTTTGCCATGGGCCTTATGAGCTTTTGACACCCTGATTTCGGCCTTTTTTGCCAGTCTTACCTCCCACCTATCATGGAACATGTTGTTCGACGATGTACAGGGGTCAAGGTCAGGTTCAAGGTCAACCTAGGTCATCTAAGATAATTGCGTTTTAGGCAAGCTGAATTTACTTTTTTGAAGTTTTTTGGCTGCATTTTTGGTAAAAGCTTCTCAGATCATGATTTCATGTAATATGGACCCAAAAACAATCGGTGCACACATCAGTATACACACAGACACACACAGACATACAAACACATATAATTGACCTTGACCTAACTTGACCTGAAATGACCTCAGCAGCAAAATTCTGGTCGGGTAGTGTGACAAAGAGGTTCTAGCTGGCTTGGCACCAGAAAACAGCATCGTCATCGGTATTTGATAAGCAGCACACTTGATATCCAACGGTGACCCAAAACAGCAACATTTTTTAGTTTGACCTGACCTGGAAGGTCAATGACTGACCTGAGAAGGTAAAACTGGGTATCATTGGATTCGTCTCTTCCCAAAGAATCTTTTTGGTCTTTACCGCTAAGCTCTATCTCCAACAGGAACGAAATGGCGCGGGGGGGTGGCAACCACCCCCCCCCCCATGTGCGTTCTAGGATGGGAAAATGGCATGTGCGGGCGAGGGTTAAGCAAAAAATAAAATATGAGGGTGTATGGCTTTGGTGATTTGGTCGATCTATCGTGGAATGCCCCAGCTTTATATGCAATGATATCAATTATGTGGTAACTCAAGAGAGGTGAGACCGCGTAGTGCGTAAGAGTGCAATTCGAGCGAGTGCAGGGTCATGAAGTAAGTTGAACCCTCTCTTTAACATAGAGCAGTCTATTCACGACAGTCGTGCATGGCCGGACCTTGAGCTACATTTCAGCTGCGAGGAGCGGACGGCAGCGACGGGCGGCGGCGGCAGCGGCGGCGGCGGCGGCGGCGGCAGCGACGGGCGGCGGCGGCGGCGGCGGCGGCAGGGTGCGGATGGCGGCGGGTGGGGGCGGCAGCGGCAGCGGGGGCGGACCTGCCGAGTGAGGCGCCGCCGCGCCCCGACCTCGTGATGGCCCGGCGCTATCTCACTAGGCGCCCCTCTGTATCGGGTGGTGTAAACCGTGCGCAGGCGGCGTGACGACAGGGTGCCGACGGCGCCGGCATCGGCGAGGACATCCGCCGGATCAAGGCACCCAGCAGGGCCAGGAACCCCCGTCCAAGACGTCCACTGGTCTATGGCACCTCCAGCCGTGAGAAAACGGCAGCGGCACCTGGCAGGGTTTGTGACCCACCAGCTCATCGGCAGTGACATGCGGATACTCTCACACTAGATAACAGTGAACCAGCCACAGTAACGATAGCCCAGGGCAGTAAGGACTGAACTGCGAACAGCAAGAGTGGCGCCGGAACAGCGAGAATGACGACCGTATGCACATTGCACATCTCACAGAGCCATCACCAGCTGCAGCAATCCTGCGCTGTCAACTTTCCCACCAGCACCATCATCATCATCATTATATCATCAGCAGCGGCGACACAGAAGTAGCAGCAGCAGCAGCAGCAGTCCTGTGCTGTGTCTCACACACAGTGTCAACTCAATAGTCCAGCGCGCCGTGGCAGCGCCGGGCAGCTATACCGTGACAGCCAAGGTCGGCATCGTGCCGCCGGCGGCGGACGATGCGCCGCACCTCGCCGCCGGTCACACACCAGTGCGTCGCAAATGCCGCCGCCGCCCACCGGCGCGCCGTTCATCGTACCGTCCCCCTCTGCCCCCTCCCCGCCCGACCCCATTAAGGCCGTTTCACACACGGAACGTAAACGCGATGGGAACGTAAGCGGATCGTAGAGCCCTATGCTAAAGTATCGGTGCTACGTTCACGTTCCGCTCGTATGTTTACGTTCCCAGTGTGAACCGGGAAGCGGAAAGTGGCCGGACGATCGTCGGGTAGACGATTACGGTCCGCTCTTGGCCCGATACGATCGTCAGGCGGGAAGTTGAAAAAATCCAACTTTTTGAACGTAGCGGAACGTTTCAGCAAGTGTGTGACTGGTCTCAACAGACAACAAGCCAGCAGTGATTGGGGCAAAGGTAGGTAGATATTTTGGTTGTGTTTTAATGTATAAACTGCGATGCTGAATGCTGACCAATTTTATAATTTAGTGCAGTGAAATTGCTCAAACTTTCCTATGTCTCAAACAATTTAGTCACAGAATGAACTCATTGAAATATTACCAGGTACCTAAACCATTCACAATCACCATCCATTATTTCAGCTCTAGTATTTTGCTTTTTTAATGGTGTAGCACATTTCAGAAACTCAAACTCATTACAAGCGCATTAGTAAATGTACATTGTACAGATATTGAGCTTGGTGCTCATACCTGCTGGAATAAAAAATTTGAACTGTAAAGCCTACATTGTGACTGGCACCAAATGATCCTTAAAATGTGTATCCGCAAGGTGCTGGCAGACAAAATTTAGGCAGGCAAGATTTAGGCAGACAAAATTTAGAACATAAGCCGGCAGGCCCAAAGATTAAAAGTGATTGATTTCTCCCATGTCATCATTGTAGGTTATTTTGGCAAACTTTGTACCTACCTACTGATTCCGCCAGTTCTCAGCCTTGACATGCTTAGCTTATTGTTTTACCTGCAATGCTAGTGTGCAATCAATAGTTTAAGTCAAGTACGAGTTTGGGTTGAGTCTGCTGATACAGCATTAACCCCACCAAATGGGAACAGAATTTATGGAAAACTAGTATTTTTTAAACAAGATTTTGTCTGGATGCCAGAAAAAAATCAAGACTTTGTTATGAAGCACTTCTGTTTGTAAGCCCCCCCCCCTGGCACGGGTTGGTGCACCTCCATTCCATATATTTTTGTGATGCTAATAACCTGTCTGGTTGTGGTGCAAAGCTCCTAGGCATCAAATTTTCCTAATATTGGTAGTGATGGTATCCACTAACCAGATAGACTACTGAACCAATGGCAATAAAACAATCAAACCTAGCCTAAACTGACTAAACCTACCAGTACCTACCCTGCTATGCCAGTCCAACCAATACCGCAGATAGTAGGGTACCTATGTCTGGTTAGACAAGGTTGGGCTAGATTATGTTAAATGCTACCTACTCATACAGTTGTCTGTCAGGATGGCTGCACTAGTACTACCAATGCTATTTTCCCTTTCTTTCTGCCCATACTTGACCACTTGCCTAAAAATTTCATCTCTGTGATCTGTATGACATGACCTGATATCAGGATGTGGAGGTGCTTATAGGCGCAATACACAAATTCACATTGAGCCTGTCTTTTGTTCAATTTAGGTTATTTCTAGAAACAAGAATGTATCATTCCTAAATTCTATGAAGGGCGCAATGTTCCAAAGTTGTATTTTGACTTGGGTGTCAGAGGGGAAATTCTGCTCCAATACTGTCACCTGCCCTAGTGTTGTATATTTAATTGCTAATCCTAAAATTATGGACATTTGGTGCCAGAGTAAATCTTATGGGTGCCTACAAATGTCTTGTGGGTTTCATGAAAAAGACATCGAAGTTGAAGTAGTGAAGAATGAAGATGGTTATTCCTGTTTAGATAATCAATGTATACCTGTCTTTTACACAACCTCAATATGATAAAGCATGGCATTGCCTAAAATCTAGATTGGTATGTATGTAATGGTAATATTTATATGCAACATTTCACCTTTTCAGTTACAAGATGGCACTGTGGACAGAGGCCCTAGAAGAGCGTCTGGTTAACCTGGTGCAGGATTATCCGTGGCTGTACGCTGTGAACAGTAGAGGGTTTAGAGACAAACACAAGAAAACGAACTCATGGCGAGAAATCGCAACTTCTCTGCCTGACGGCATAGATGGTAAGTCAAATTATTTAGGTGGCCCTGGATAATGGCTAAATGTTAAGGGCATCGATTTTTACTACAAGATGAACTGACTTGAGTCAATATAAGTGGCCAATTCTTTTCCTGCACCCAGATCCAGCACATATGTAAATTGGGATGGGACTTACCTCATTAATATAATGTGTTATCTCTTATCCATGCTTTTATTATGGCTGGTATTATAAGTGCACTGTGGCTTCTCTATGTCCATAATTCCTAATGTGGAGAGTGAGATACCCAACATGTTCTCTGAATGCTCCTTTGGGTAGTGACTGCATAATACATATGGGTACATCCCTGGCTTTTCACTACAGCTGACGCCGCCCACAAAAAGTGGGACGCACTGCGCGACAAGTATCGGCGGCTGCGTCAGAAGGACGCCATGCTACCGCCCAGTGGATCCAGTTTCCGGGAGGCGGAGAGTCAGCGGCCCGACTGGGCTCTCTTCACTGTGCTGCACAGCTTCCTACAGCCCCACACCAACCATCGCCGACGGTATGTCGTACTGTTGACCTGTGTCCTGCTGTGATCTTGTGTGACCTACAGCTAACCTGTGCCTGTGGTGATCTCGTCGGGCCCGCAGCTATCCTGCGATGACCTCAACTGACCAGAAGCTGTGTGGTGGCACAGAATGCATTTAAACTAAATATGTTTTCTCTCTGAGTGCCTCTGATTGCTGACCCCAGAAAATTGCAAGAGGCTATAGCTGAGAAAATTGAGCTCGGATTAAAAAAATATGTAAGCTTAATGCTTATTTTGCTTCAGCAGCATGCATCGCCCAACATAACCCCACATACCATTTTTTGTTGGAAAATGCGAGATGACGGTGTAAATCGGATGACTGAAATGTCATGGAATGACCATGGCATTCCTTTTATTTCAGTGGAGGTGACAGTTTCAACGTGGAATCAGCAGTCGCGGAGAATGGAAACGCTGCAACAGTGCTGATGGAAGATGTTGGGTGAGTTACGATGCTGACAAAACATCACCGAGACCCGAGTTATTCCTTGCTTTGGCAATTTACTGATGGTTAATGTCGTGCGCAGCGTCACCATACCACAGTTATTTCAAGGCTTGTCCAAGACTTGCATGGTTCTTGCAATGATTACTTGCTCAATACGCTAATAAATGTAATTATTGTTTGTCGTGTAACTAATGGTAGTTAATGTAAGCAATATCATTATGCTAATATGACGGCTGTTACATTGCATTGCCCAGAACCAGCAGCTAAACCTTATGTACAATGCATATCTGTAGCCTGTTCTTTTCCGGTAAAATTAGTCATATACCTATGCCATGTTGCAGGGAACAAAGTCAGTCCCAGGTGGTGCTGGATGGCATCGACGCGTCTCAACTGGTAAGTAGCAGAGGTGGGCAGCTTGGCTTGCAGGGCCGGTGCATGCCCCGAACTCAGGCCCGGCTTGTGTGGTGCGAGGATTACTGATGGATTTTCCTTTCCCTCCCATTGGATTCATGCATAACAATCATTCTTAGGGATCCCGTGGTGCTGCTACTAATTGTTGTATGTTTCAGTGGAAGTTACAACCACCGTTTACCTGACTCATGACGTGCACAACGTTTCTTCTCAGGACGTTGTATTCGAGGACAGCCAGGCATCAAACAGCCAGGCATCAAACGCTTCCTCTCCAGCCGATGCCGAAGTAACTGCTGCCGTCGGGAACGGCCAGCCCGGGACTGTGGCTGCAAACAGAAGCGCCGCCGCTACAGAAGCGGCGGCACGTCCCGAGCCGGACCGGCGGCCTGTCGGCAGTCAGCCCGCGACGCTGGAGCGGCCGCCGGCTAGGCCGCAGCAGCGCTCACCAACTCCGGGACCGAGTGGTGCGCCGGACGTCCGTCGGCCGGGGCCGAGCCTGGCCACCCCGCGGCGGCCTCAGCCGTCGAAGAGGACGCCTGCTGTCGCAGGAGCCAGCCAGCAGTCCTGGCAAAGAGAACTGGTGGACTGCTGGAAGCAGGCGAAAGCGACAGAAAAGGACAGGGTGTCGTGCTTCCTGGAGTACCTCGGTACTCTCATGAGGAATGTGTCACCTGATGACCTCGACGACGTAGAGGACAAGGTGTTGCGTGTTGTGCGCAGCTTCCGATAAGCAGTATAGCTTTCCGGTCTGCGTTCAATCTGGGCGCATCAGGTGCTGTGTTAATCTAGATTTCAGCTTGCGTTGGGTTCAGGGTCGTCTGCGGCCTTATGATGTTGCGGTGCAGCGCAGTTGTACATTTTTAGGATGCAGTTTGTAGCAATAGTACCGTAGTTAATAGCTTGTACCTGATTTCGTTGTCGATCTCATCATGGATCTCACCTGCACTTGCCGGCTGCAACTGGGTGCAGCAGGTGAGGTAGGCCGTGTGTCATCTCATTTAATCTCGTGTTATTGCATGTGAACTCAGAGGTACTCGCTTTGGTCATGAGGCTGTGACGAACCACCTTTCATTGAAGTAAGAATAAATGTACGTTTTCTAAAATCAAGCATATGAGCGGATGAGGCCAGCTGAGTCCGTTAAAAGTCGGTATGCAATTTGCATTCATCCGTAATTGAATATTTTTATTACCATTCACATGCGACAGAGGCCAGTCTCTCCTTGAGCTTCCAGACACCACGGTATATGGCAAAATGTTTTATTAAGCGGCGGCTCGAAAGTCGAAGAACAACATCGCTGGCACAAATGAAGATGGTACGACGAACTTTTATTTCACCCGGCGGCCGCTGAGCCTCCGCGCCACTCGCCGGCCGCGGAGGGTGGGGGGGGGGGGGGGGGGAGGGTTTTACGTCTCCGATGATATCGTCACAATGCGTCACTTATCGTTGAGTTTCATGCTCAGAGACGTCAGAAATGCTCCATATAGGAAAGCGGCAAAAAATTGTGACGGCATCTCAAATGCTACAGCCACTTCAACTTTCCTCAAATATCACCAGACACAAGCGGCGAATACAAAGCACCAGACATGTGGCTGTGGCTGCTGTGACAGTGGCCTAAACGAGTCTCCCGCGGCGCACGACTGCATTTTGCCACGGAACACTGCCCTCGGGAGACACAAAGTACGTGGCATACCGCTCTCGAAGCTCCGCAGCCCTCCTCGTGGAGTTGTTTGCGCCCAGGCGGCCGATGTTGCGGAAGCAGCTATCACTGTCATCATGGCGCCAAGCACCGCGCGTCAGGTGACCGCTGTCCTCGCAGTCCACGTCCCCGTCCCCGATGTACCGCCGATCGCTGGATGTGCCGTCCCTGCGTCGCAGATAGTTATGCAGCACACAGGCTGCCTTTACTACCGCATCGACGGTTTCAATTTTAGCCTTAATTGGCTGCCTCAGAATTCGCCACTTCGTTACAAGAATGCCAAACGTGTTCTCGACGATGCGACGGGCCCGACACAAACGGTAGTTGTAGACCAGCCGCCTGTGGTAGTCATCCTCGGCGCCTCCCAGTCTTGAGCCAGGGTACGGCCTCAGCACGCGATGCTGGAGCTGGAACGCTTCGTCTCCTACAAACACATACTCCAGCTCTCCTTCACGAGCAGTGGGGAGATGCAGCTCCTCCCGCGCCAGCCGCTGACCGAAGGCCGAGTTCGAGAAAATGCTGGCGTCGTTTTCGCGACCGTACGCCCCCACATCAATGTAAGTGAAGCAGTAATTGGCATCAGATACTGCCATGAGAACGCTGCTGAAGGTAGCCTTGTAGTTCCGGTACAGTGAGCCACTGAGCTTCGGGCACTCGATCTGTACGTGTTTTCCATCCACAGCACCTGCGGAACAAGCCAAGGAAAAACAGTCATACTAATGAGAGTATTGTTTTGGGAAATGTTCGTGATGCCACTGTTACTGATTGGCATTGTAATAGCCAGCCACTTTTCCACTGGGTCATGATTTATATATTGTAGCATCAAGCCCCACACAACGCATGCAATATGCGCCCAGCAGTGTCCCAAAAATTGTATTTTGGCCTGGCTGTCAGAGCGGAAAATCCTGTTCAAAAAGGGAGGTAAGGGTGCAAAATTGTCAGTCAGATGAGGCCTGAAAAGAGTGGAGAAGGGATCAATGGCATATATTTTTATGCGAGTGGTAAAATGTAGGATGTGAAACGACCATCCATGCAAATGCTATTTCTCGGTAAGATTGGGAGTGGAGAATTGCTCTTAGAAATTAGGGATGAGATTACAAAGTGATTCATTTGGATGTCTTCCCACGCTGTCACGCTGCCATTGCGACAAGCACCAGCGGTCAGCCGAGTTCAGCCCGAGGGAGGAGCGGACGGCGAGCTGCGCCGGCGCCGTACTGTTGGCGTTCTCCTGCGCTACACCCTGGCAGTCGGGCTCCTCTGAGTCATCACAATTAGAAATCTCCCTTGGCGGGTCAGACGAGTCAGAGGAGTCAAAGTTTGTCTCCGGCTCCGTCAAAACTCTCTGGCTCGGAATGCTTATCTACCGCAGCGCAGGCGGTGCCTGCTGCGTCTGTAGCAGCCGGGGCGGGGGCGGTGTCGGGCGGTGGGCCGCGCGCCGGCCGGGAAGCGTCCTACTGCCGTGTGTTCATCCCCGACTGCGCCAGCAGCCCGCGGGCTGCCTGTGTTATCAGCTGGCGCAGCTACTCGGCTGACAGCCCGGTGGACAGGACGCTGGCGGCCGCCCCCTCCAAAGCCAGCCCGCCCAGCGCGGCGGCCCAGGAGGTCGGTGCTGCTCCGTGCGCCGTCCTGCTGGCAGTGCTAGTGAGCCAGCGCCCGGCAATACTAAGTGTCGTGCGTATATCCGTGACCACCGAGATCGTATTCAGCCGGCGGGAACAAGGTCGTTCTGACGTCGGTCCGGGGGGGGGGGCTGGACCAGGCCGAGGCCGTCTCTCTGCGGCCCGTGTACGGCTGCCAGCCGGACGCCCGACCAGAGCTGGTGCAACTGTCCTTTCCAGTGGCAGGCCAGTATGCGGCAGCCGGCAGATGCTGCAGCTGCCGAACGACCTGCTGTGCCGGCCGTTGCTGTGGAGCGCCCCGGCGACGTGATGGTGACCGGCACGCTGGCAGCCGCCTCTGCAGACAGCATGACCGATACGGAGCTGGAGATGTAGAAGCTGACGCTGAACGACCTGATGAGCCACCATCAATCGCAGCACGTCCGCTGACTGTGCGGGCTGCGTCACCAGCTGCCGGCACTCGCGCAACAGTAGAGTCGCAGCCCGTGCTGCGATTGATGGTGGCTCATCAGGTCGTTCAGCGTCAGCTTCTACATCTCCAGCTCCGTATCGGTCATGCTGTCTGCAGAGGCGGCTGCCAGCGTGCCGGTCACCATCACGTCGCCGGGGCGCTCCACAGCAACGGCCGGCACAGCAGGTCGTTCGGCAGCTGCAGCATCTGCCGGCTGCCGCATACTGGCCTGCCACTGGAAAGGGCAGTTGCACCAGCTCCGGTCAGGCGTCCGGCTGGCAGCCGTACACGGGCCGCAGAGAGACGGCCTCGGCCTGGTCCAGCCCCCCCCCCCCGGACCGACGTCAGAACGACCTTGTTCCCGCCGGCTGAATACGATCTCGGTGGTCACGGATATACGCACGACACTTAGTATTGCCGGGCGCTGGCTCACTAGCACTGCCAGCAGGACGGCGCACGGAGCAGCACCGACCTCCTGGGCCGCCGCGCTGGGCGGGCTGGCTTTGGAGGGGGCGGCCGCCAGCGTCCTGTCCACTCTGGATTTGGGGTGTACATGTAGGGCTAAAAAAGCCAATGAAGAAAAATCAGGGATTAAAAAAACAGTAACAAAATAAAATTACAACTTATAGTGCAAATCGTAAGAATGCACTTTTTGTGATCAATCTTACCCAGACAATGAGGGAAGTTCCAGCGCTCTTCAAACTCCTCTGCGATGTCCATCCACTTCTTCGTGTTAGGCACCGGCATCTCAAGAGGAGCCAATGTCTCCCACAGGGCAGAACACACTTCTGGTATGATGCCGCTTGTTGTCGATACCCCAACTCTGAAGTAGCGAGCGACATCTAGCTGACTCATGCCAGATGCCAGATACCTGTGGATGATGAAAAAATAATTAAAGACACACATGTTCTGACATGATCATGTCAGGGAAGAATGGTCCATGGAACATAGGTGTGGGAACTGGGGGGAGAGCACCCTTTTGGGCCACATTTTGTTAATATTACTTGCTCTTGATTTCATAAAGGTTTTAATATTGTTGTGGAGCTGTTCCTCAGGGCAAGGCGAGCCCACAGATACATAAGCGTTTTATTTTGCTAGGTCATTTTGGTTTAAAAAAGAAAAAAATCCCACCTACAATGATCATTTGGTGCTGTCTATTTTATGAGTTATCCAAAATATGCTAGATCAAACATTTCCTGGAGCATAATCATTAATGAAAATAGTAAAAAACACCTGTTGCTCATAGAATAGCCAAGAAAATGTTCATGAAATAAAGATGAAATATAGTTCCCACTCTGGGTCTTCTGCGAGGTTAGAGGGGATCAAATCAATGAACCAGAATGGAAAACATTTTGAATTTATCTGGTTAAGTAGGTGCATCTTGTCAACCCCACCAATGCCATACTTTGCAGTCATGTAAAGAACACCACCAACCACCCTTATGCAACAAAAAATTACAGCAGACATATCTAATTGGCAAAGCCGAGGGACAAGGGGGTGCTGGGAGGTGAGGTTTCAGCTGCATACTGATGCATACTTATACTTTTAGTATGCAGAATTTAGGAATGCCAATTGGCCTCTTGGATCTGGATGTGAGAAGGCGTCAGTGTGTCACTGCATCAGTGCTACCATGTGGAGACATATTTGATCATGGCATTGTTAACACTGCAACTTCCGAACATCCTATAAAAATAGCAATTTGGGTTGGCTTGGAAAGGCCATGCCAGGACTCAAAGAAACCATTTCATGAAGGACATGGCCAATTTACACTTGACACATCAAGACCCATTCCTTGCCTGAAAGACCAGTTTCAGTGTCATGCCGTGCAACACTGAAATAATCAATTCTTGTTGTGCCCAGTCAACATGCATATTTTGATACTTCCCACTTAAATAAATCTATAAATCTCTATGGCTGTTTCCATTCATGAGCTGTAGCTTGAAATGACATCAAATTAACAGGAAACGTCTATAACTCACCTAATGGTCACGGCCAGCCGTTCAGCCTCTGGTATCGCAGCTCGGAAGTTAGTGTCTGTTCTCTGGATGAGAGGCGCGACATGTTCAACAAGCTCATCAAAACGTTCTGGAGTCATGCGATAAGCACGGTAAAACTCCTCTGGCCTGTTCCTTGACTCTCTGAGCAGTTGAGCATATTCTCCCCTGCTGGTGCGGGAGGCCAGGGACTCTCGCACCCATATCCGACGAGCTGGCGGCGGTGACTTTTCCTCTGAGCCAAGGGCCAACATTAACAGCAGGTCTTCATCACGCATGGTACAGCACTCGTTCAGCTCAATCAATTCAGAAAATAGAAATCCAGCCTCAATTCACAGCACAATATCGTCCACCTCCTCTTCTGCTTCCTCAGTCCTTCGAAAAATAACAACAGTTACAACCGGGGTATGTAGTTACAACAGCAGCGCCTTTTGATGTGCGCAAGTCTGTATCTCTTGCGCCATAACTGTATCAATTTCGATCGTTGCTACGCTGCTACCAGATACTCGGTGATACCAGATCTAGAGAAACGTTCGAGAAACGTTCGTAGGTCATCTAGCGAAAAGCCAACTTTTTACGATCCGTTCCGCTCGTACGTTCCCATTACGCTACGCTCCGTGTGTGAAACGGCCTTTACAGTCAACAGAGACACGGTCCGATTGGGAGCGGGGTACGGCGCCGCCGGCTGTGGACCCGCGCCGGGCAACGGCCGAGCAGCGACGACGGCAAACCAATGCTGACGAGAGGTGTCCCCCTATCCGCCCACTGTCAGTCAGTGAGTAACAGAGGCGACTCACTTCGCGGAAGGAAACCCGGCTTGCGGAAGTATACAGATGTTGATAGAGCAGTGTAACTCACAGCTTATTTAACAGCTCATGGCGTTACGGTTAACCCGCGCCCCGTAGGGCTATCGGCGGACCCTACCACCCGTAGGGGAGGGGCCGTTTCGGCCCCCCCCCCCTAAGATCTCGGAAATTCACCGGCCGATATTCAAAATTCAAACGGTGTTGGATAGCCCCACCGGGGAACTACCTTGTGACCAAATTTCATTGACGTAGGTCAAACCGATGACGTCACAGGTCAGGTCAAAGGTCGGATTTTCACTGTTCACAGGCATTTCAAGAAATGTGTTGTGAAATCAAGTAAATTGGTAATTTATTGAAAACCATCGATGGCACATTGTTCGTCAAACACATACTTTGCTATCTGAGGTCACTGATACCAGGTCAGGTCACAGCGAGGTCAGGTCACCGGGGGTCACAATATGAAAGTGTGGTGTGATACATGTTTTATGGCCCATTTTACATGACAAATGCGATTATGTGGGTTAGGCAGCCTTTGGGGCCAGCCTGCGTCACATTTTGGTCAAGGTCAGGTCAAGGTCAGGTCAAATTAGGTCAAATTTCAAAGTTGATATTTTTACATAAAATGGGTATCGATTCGATGCAGCTCGTCACGGGGAGTCTAATGGTGGTCTTTGTTCTGCTCTACGAGGTCTAGAATTGCCAAAAATTGAGTTTGAAAATTTGACGTCATCATTTTTGAAGTTTTTCGCTATAGCTTGGCCAAAAAAAGAGGTATCGATCTCAAATTTGGTATGTAGATAGAAGGCCGTAGGTACTATCATATATATTCCGGTTTTTTCGAAACTCAAAAAGCTTTTTTGATTTTTTGACTAATATATCCGAAAAAATGCTTTTTTGGTTTTTGGGGGTCAAAACTCAAAAATCTAAAAAATCAGAGATGGCAGTTTTGTAGCCCAGTCAATTCTACACCTTTTATGTTAGATCATTTTTCTGTATCTTCAAAGCTGTAGGCCTGACAGGTCTTCTCGCGAAGGTCTTTTTTCGGTCGAAAACGACAGAACATGACGTCATTCTGACGTCATTTGTGGCCGACCTAGCATAGCCTCTGGTAAAATTTTTGGTCACAATGTGTAAAATTGATGCCCGGAGAGGTTCTGAAAGTTTGGTGGCGATATCTCCAGCCGTTTGGGAGATATCTACGGAAAAGGACAGGGAGGGGCCGTTTCGGCCCCCTCCCCCTACGGGGCGCGGGTTTTAACTGGGCGTGCGGCTTAGCCACCCTAGAGCGTCTTGTTGGTAAGACGTTCATTTGTTTAGGTATTTAGTTCTCTTTTGGACAGTTCCGGTGTAATATAATAACATGATTGGTCAACACCAATATGTTCCCGAACTTTTTTTCCAAAAGAATCGGGAAATAATCTTTTCGAATTAAGTACATACCAAATGCATTTTCGAAAATAAACTATTTTCTTCACGGTTGCAAATTATGTATGCATGCAAGTACGTATGGGTAGTTATATATGTACAATGAACACGTACCTACATAAGCAGATAGGTGCATGTTCCGCAAAATGCTAAAGCCGTCCATTTCAGCACGGGATATTTGGCAGCTGGGCTGATAAACTTAACAAAAACCCAACCACAAATGTAAACAGACAGCTATGTCACGCATCATCTGTTTATATTAATGCTTCTACACAACGCGCTCCTAATTGTGTTCTGTAGTTCGTTGAATATATGTCTGTATTTGTGTAAAAGGGAGATAAAAACATTGGTGCATTGTTTAACCCAATTAGCGATAAAAAGACAGCCTGAGCCATGACATAATACAATAGCGAATGGCATAGCTGCTGCACACATGTCCGCACTATTCAGGAATTATATAATTAATAATCAGATATCGCGGCGCCGCTTTACATAGCACCACACTGGACCGGTCGACCTGCAGGGCGAGGCTAGCAGCGAGTAACGCATTGAGTGTGTGGACAGTCTGCAGGCCCAGGTCGAGGTTAGCAGTTAGCACCACACTGTCGGACAGCCTACAGGGCATGCTGCAGTGCCTGCCACTCGACCTGTGGTTCAGGTCACGCACCACTGTTGACTGCGGACTGTGGAACTCCTCCAATAGTCCCATGGGGCGCAGCAGAGACCTGTCGTGCCCGACAGCCGGAGCTGTGTTCAGGGCGGGTGTGGAGTGGGAACGGTCGGTTCCCGCGGCTCAGCCAGCGTTTCCTGTCGGCTCGGAGCGCCACACCGCTGCTCTCTACAAAACCCTGTCCCTGTGTCTGTACCGTGTTATGCCAGCCGTGTCTGTGTGTGTGACGCAGGAGCTAACAACCGTAACGAACAAAACGGACCACAGTAACAAACTGGACTTTGACGACAAAGCGCTGAGCATAAAGCCAAACCAAATATGCAACGAGCTGCGCACAAACAATATATGCACATGGTCATTAGTAATGTGAAATGTGTACATTTTCTGATCACATACCTATCTAGTGTGCCCTATCGCAGTGACATTTATAGCGTGTTGCAAAAATTGTATTGGAAACTTCACTTCTCCATTCACGAGTCACGACAGTTCGGTTGAAATCCTTTTGATTTGTGTAACATGATATAGGTACCTATTAGGTATGCAAAAATCTCGCCGTAAACTACCTTTAGCCGAACACACTCATCGCTAAAGGAACTACATACAGTGGGGCTGCTGTAAACTTCCTTGGCACGATAGGGCCGACTTTCACCACCCACGCAGGTGGTGTTTTGGTAACTGGAACGACACTCGAATGGCGCGCAGGCTTCTTTCACTAGTCTGACGCATTGTTCGCCAATACCTAGCCGATACCACACGCAAACAGCGACTTCCGGTCGGAACAATGAGATCCGGTCTCTCTCTCTCTCTCTCTCTCTCTCTCTCTCTCTCTCTCTCTCTCTCTCTCTCTCTCTCTCTCTCTCTCTTTCTCGTGTTCTTGTGCAGCCGTCTCTCTTCATCCCAGATCAGTTACTTTATCGGGCTTTGGCTTAGGCTGTACAAAAGCTGTATCCCTGATACACCCAAGCTGCGTGGGGTGCACTTCCGGGCCGGTCCCTGTCGTGGCCCGATCGGTCAGACCAGAGTGCGCTCCATGGCCGGAGCCAGGTCAGCCCGGTGATGGCGTGCAGTGCGGCGGCCGTCAGCACCACTCGGGACGCCGACGGTCGTCAGCGGCCGTATATCGGCCCGGCGGCGCCACTGACGGCCGGCCCGACAGCCGGCGTCACGCCAGTCGGCAGCCCTCGGCGCCGCATCTCTGGCGCCGCCCCCGCCCCCGCCCCGGCCCGCTGCAGCCGCCCCACAGTGGACAAACTGTCGTCACGGCGCGGCGGCCGGCCAACAGTGGACCGTTTGTCTCGTGGCGGCCTGCAGGCCCGGCCGCGTCCCAGAGCCGGCCGCCTCTGCAGGCCGAGTCATCGCCGTCACTCGGCAGCCGGTGGCGCACTAACAGACGCACCACCATGCACCAAACAGCGCCGCAATTAGCGGCTGTCGGTGTCCAGTCCCGGACACTCCATCAGCCGGTACATGGGACAGGCAGCGGCGGCGGCTGTCGGGACTCACCTGTGGTCCCGCCGGCCAGCAGGACGACCAGCAGCGGCAGTAACATCGTCATCAGGACGGGAGACGACTGAGCGGCGGACGGCGGCAGGGGTGGGCGCCTCCGGGAGCAGCCATACCACATCACAGAGCGGGCTCCTCGTCTTCAGGTCATCCAGCCTGGGAGGAGGTCGAGAAGAATCATCATTAGAACACAATCGGCTGGCTAATATAATGATAAACACGATAAGGGATTGGACCACTGAGGAAGGTCCAGCACCGAAAATATATTTTGGATTTGTGCTTACTTTAGTTATGTTAGATAAAGGCGGTGCTCTCGTTGACCTGTATTCTCACGACCGGTCACCAGCACACACTGACTCCTCTCCTCCCGCGCGGGCCGCCGCGCGCCGCCCGGCGCCCGCAGACGGGTCACAGCGCATGCGCCGCCCAGCGGCGCATGCGCTGCGACCGGCCAGGCTGGGCGGGCGGTGATATTCGCAGTGCACAAAATCACACAATCACACACCTCCCCCCCAAAAAGAACGGATCACTGTAGGCCTGTGATATTTACAGTTGCGCGTCACACATCTCCATCACGGTTGCGAGCCGCCCCACACGCGCGTGGGCGGCGTTCTTTAGAAGAACACGTCGCTAATCTTGTCTAAGACTCTCGCGTAGCCCTTCTTGTTCAGGTGAATGCCGAGGCGGTCGCTGAAGTAGGTGGCCGCCACTTCCTCTGCAACTACGTGACGTTTGGCGCGCCCCTGGCGGCGCATGATCGTCATGGCCCGGCCGACATATGGAATAAACCGGACCTGATCGTAACGGCCGGAAAGCGCGGAGAGGGCTCGATCCGCCTTGAAGGCCTGCGTATCTTCCCAGCACCTACCGGTATCGTGCCAGAGCCGAATGGTCGGCCCAGCGAGGGTCACTCGTCCGTGACTTGTGGCCTGACCAAGGACGGCTATAACAGCGTTCTCATCAAGGCCCTGCGGGGACACTCCGGGC